GTCAGAGCAAAGGAACCACCAGCCATACTTACCTGCTGAGGTTCCAAAACAAATCCCCACACTAAGGCTCATGATATGGTAGCAGGCTTACTACACCCATTCTAAGGCCAGGTGGCTCTACCCCCTAACCCTAGCCACATGGCCAGAGAGGTCAGCACGCCCTATTCCTCTGTGGCCTGCCACAAGCCCTTGTAAGTGAGTGGCAGTACCAACCCAGTCAACATCACACACACACACACAAGTTTGCCATAATAGCCCTTGGGGACAGTCAACACTCACATAGCAGGAAGAAACCATGCTTACTACACCTGGCAGGCAACAGAGGTAGAAAGGGAGCCAGGGAGAAGGCTCCTAGTGGTAGAGACATAAGAGATAGGTCTGGAACAAGAGTTTACAGCCATCCACTCCCCTTAGGAAGTAGTGACTATTTCATTGAGCCTCAAGGAGGTTAAGTAACTGGCCAGAGCTCACACAGCAAACAGAAAGCAAAGCCACAGTTTGAGCAATGCTGGCTGGCTCTAAAGCCCTCGTACTGCCTTTTAATAAACCTGGGTCCTGGAATCAGGCAGCCAGGGATGAATCCAGCTCAGCTTTCTTCTTACTGTGTGAGCAAAGGAAGTTTACTGTGTGTTGCTGAGCCTCTTGATGTCCATCCATAGTATTCTCTAACTGCAAGCTGGTTGTGAGGCATTACCTGGAGAGTGTAAGACCACGCCAGACACCCACCCAGTGAGCACTCAGGCCCACTGGACTTGTGTCGCTGCTGTTGTTGCCAACAGCCTGGTAGGCCTGCACCCCTGTGTACCACACCCATAATTTTTCTGCTACAGGACCAGGTCAGACCCACAAAGCCCTACTGGGGATAGACATCTCCTATCCTTCTCCAGTCTCCCTTTGGAGGTCCACAGAACCCACAGAGCTACCCCAGGACAGGGAGGAGGCTATGTATGTGACCCTGACAAGCTGCCCCCAGCCCACTGACACTGGCTGTGCCAACCACAAGAAATTTAAAAATTCCACCTTCTTATCTCAAAGCAAGTGGGTGACCCTCCCAAGCTGGAGGAATGCTGGCTTGGGACATGCTGGTCCCACCCCTCCCCTCTCTCTGCCCTGAGAAGGAAACTAGGAGAGAACATGAAGTCCCCTGTGACCACCACCCCCGACACTCACATCTAACTCTGGTTCCCTCACAGATCACTTTCCCCAGGAGAGTGGGACCTACTGACACAGACAGGGAGGTAACTGTCTCCTAAAGGAGGTGCCTTCTAGGCTCTTACCTCCCCTCATGGGACTGCAATCAGGACCTCCCACTGTGGACCCCCAGCATGGTTCCTCACCTCTTTCTGAATAACTTGAGAATGCCTTTTAGAAAAGATAGAAAGAATAAAAGATCTTGAACCCAGAGTCTTGGTTCTTAGCCGAGGCCTTAAACAAGTCCCTTTCTACTTCTGCGTCTGGGTTTCTCCATCTGTGAAGCAGGAATGTCACTCTATCCTACCTGGCTTCCTTGTAGAAGGAGGAATGAAGACAGTTTCCCTATAGGAATACACTGAAATTCTTACGAACAGTTCCTCTGCCCATAGGCAAGTCACTTCCCTTTTGCCACTTGGCTGGCAGCAGCTAGTAAGTGTCCCCCTATAGTCTCGGAGCTCCTTAAGGTCAAGGACTGACTAGGTTTCATTCCTGGAAGAAGCAGGCTAAGTGCTGAATGGGAGCCCAACTGAATGGACCAATGGATGATGTCGCTTTAAGACACTGAAAGTATCATCTAACAGGACAGCTTCCCATCCTCCTCTTGTCCCAAAGGACCCTGTCCCTGGCCTTCCCATCTTAGCCTTCCTGAAGCAAAGGTCCAAACCTCAATGAGAAGACTAGGTGTGGGTGGTCAGGCCAGGAAGGAGTGTGAAGGAACCTTCTAAACCCCAACACCTCCTAGTGAGACAGGAAGTGGCACTGTAGGAAGAACAAGAGGCTGGCAGGGGGGACAAGAGGCTAGAGGAAGGCCCCTCCCTATGCTGGCCTGCCTCATGCCTGGCCTATCTGAGGAAGGCAAGGACCCAGTAGAGCCTGGCTGCAGGAACAATGTCAGGCAGGTGCCGGCTGAGCCTCGTGAAAAGCCCAGCCCGGTGTCATTGTCAGAGTTCAGCCAAGTGCAGAAAAGCAATTTACTGGTCACGCTGCCTGCTCCCCGCGGAAATTTTTAAAATTCTTCCGATTTGAGCTATCTGCGGTGTCCTGAGTCGTGTGGAGAAGGGATGAAGGGGTTTTATTAAATTCCCAGCTTCCTACTTCCCAGGGTGGCCAGTGGGTGAGGGTGGGGTTCACCACACTGGGGGTGGGCAGACGAGGGTGTCTGGCATTGAATGTGTTCATGGAAACGAGACTGGGGGGCAGGGACCCATTTGGGGCCTGGTGGCTGAGGCGTGAGAGGAGGATAAAGGCCCAGAAACTCCATTGCTAAGACTGTATCAGTCACCCAAAAAAGTGAGGTGGGGAGGGAAGGACATGGGTGTATTCATTTTCCAGCATGCTTCCTGAGTGGATAACAATTGGCAACATTCCTTCCACTCCTAATATGCAGCACTTCAACTTAAATGCCACCTTTCCCAAATGATGAAACTAAAACTATCAGAGAGCCACAGGCAGGGTATGAAGAAGCTGGGGTCCAGACAGAGTCCCCCACTGCCAAGCCCTTCCCTCCATGCAGGGAGGCCTAACCCACTTGCACCAAAGGCACTCCAACTGTTGTTGCCTCTGTGTGCCCTGCCCAGGACCACAACTACTTTCCCAGCACCTGCCAATACAGCCCCTGCAGGGACCAGACTCCACACTCAGCAAATCACAGCTCTGCAGGCACTCTCCTCTCTACCACTAAGGGCCACCCCCATCTCTGTCCCTGAAGTGGAAAAGGAAACCTGAGCCTATTCTCCTCACCTCTTGCAATTCTTTACCTTTTGGGGACCCCCACCCCACAGGTACTTCTAAAAATCTATGGGTTGCTGAGAATCTTCCAGACACACTAATTTGCACACTATTTTCTGTATGATGTTCAAGGGCACCATTACTCAGTCCCATCCCAAGGGTACAGACCAGGGGTTAAAAATACCAGTCTGATACAGTCTAGAAATGGAAAGGCTGGAGGGGACAAAGGGGCAAAGGAAGAGGGAGGAACAGAGGCAGAGGAGGCTTGCTCACCTGCATCATGCTGCCTCTTGACCTAACACAGGCAGACCACCCAGCTCTTTGCTAAAGATGCTGGCTCTAGCTCTGGCCAGGAGGTAGAGGTGGGAAGCAAAGTCCAGACTCCCTCCCTCACACTCCCATCAGAGAACACAAAGACCACCCAGCAGTCCCTCATGGGCCCAACTTAAAGAGGAACCAAGAGCAGCAGGCATGAACAGGCTTGGGCAACAAGGTTCAAAGACAGCTTTCCACCTCCATACCCATTTCAATTCCCACCCAGGCCCAGTCCACCCAGACAAGAAGACCCCCTGGAAATGACCCTGCCTGCCCTCTGCTTGGGAACTCAGCTGCACACCAGGCAGCCAATGCCTGGCACTGGCCTTTCTCTCTAACATCGACCATTCTCCCCATCCTGCCCCCCACCCCCTTCACCACACAGGGTCACATCTGCTTTGGCAAACAGCCAGTGTTAAGTTACTGACTCCAGTTGTATTGATCAAAGAGTCACTGGGGACCCCAGCCTGCCCAACAGAAGGGAAGAACCCATCAGTCTGTCCATCCACCCATCCATCCATCCTTCCAGCCCCTAGTCTCAACTAGTTGCCCAGAGCTCCATGCCTGTCTTGAGTTAACAGTCCTCTGCCAGGAGTGGAAAGAAATACAAGAGTCTTACCAGTAGCAAACACTGCAAGAGGCTAGGAGTCACTGCAGCAGTAACACACAACCTTGTACTGGGAGAACAACCACTGACCGGGGAACAGGGCTGTCTCCAGACAGCTCCAGAATCCAGGAGGCTCAGGGCAAGCACCTTCAAATTTGCCCTGTAAGGACACCTGCCTTTCACCAAAAGGGGAATGGAGCAGATAATCCTCTTTTGGCCTGTGTCCAGCCATTCCTAGGTCCCCTCCCTGGTGGCTCTAGGTGGGTGGAGGTATTGGGCACCTGGTGTTTCCTATTCCCGTTGCCGCCGCCCCCCCGCCACACCCCAAGCTAAGACAGCCCTGGTCTGGTTCTAATCCGGGCTGAAGTCGACTCCCTACACACCCCCTCCTTCATTTCCACGGCTTTGGAAGCCAGAGCATTCCAACTGTCTGTGTGCCAAGACCTTCCCGAGTCTGAAAGCTGCTGAAGTAACAGATCAGATTTTAGCAAGTGCTTTCCAGGCTGAGCGCCAAGCCCTCTTCTGATTCACGGAGAGTGAACGGGGACCAGGCAGGGAACAAGCCAGAGGGCTGCACCACCTTGGGCAAGGGCATGTGAAGCCGGATGGGGATCTCTCTCTCTCTCTCTCTCTCTCTCTCTCTCTCTCTCTCTCTCTCTCTCTTCTCTCTCTCTCTCTCTCTCTCTCTCTCTCTCTCTCTCTCCCCCCCCACAGAGTAATTTACAACTAAAGGTCTCTCTCTGGATTCAAAATCCACTCAACTGCAAGCAGCTTTTTTTTTGAAGGCGCCTTTTTGGTCTGGAAACAGGAGCGGAGATGTAGATGGGTCAGTTGGGAGAGAAATCCCAAGTTCCCAACCCGGAGGGGTTGGAGCCCCGCACCTTGCTTGGGCTGAGCCCTCGAGCTCGGGGAGATCTCCCCACCCTGCCTGGCTGTGACAGTCCGCATTGGCTGGAGCTCGGCACAGCCCCTCGCCCCTGGCCACGGGCAGCGCAGGACGCGCGCGAAGCCGCCCTTCGGCGCCTTGGGAACAGGTGCACTGGGCTCGGCGCCCAGGAGGGGTGGGGCACCAGGAGGGGGCGCGGCCCCGGGGAGGGGGGTCGGCCCGCACCACGAGGAAGAGGCGGGGGTCGCCGAGAGTCAGGAGCCCACGTACCTGGACCTGGGAGCACAGCAGCAGAAAGTGTAAACACCTGCGGAAGAGACGGAGAGGCGGTCAGTGGGACCCGATGGTGGGGGACGCGGACAGACAGACACGTAGCAAAGTCAAGCGCGCAGACGGCGGTGCAGACAGAGCCACACGCACAGGGACGGGCGGCCAGGCAGGGTGGGCACCAGGTGAGGCGGGCACCAGGCGGGATGGGCACCAGAAGGGATGGGCATCAGGCGGGATGAACACCAGGCAGGGTGGGCAGCCAGGAGGGGTGGGCACCCCGCGCGGGCGCTTACAGGCAAGTGCAGGCGGAGGGCGCTGAATACATCGCTGGGCGGAGGGGAGGCGGCGGCTCCTAGCCCAGCCTGCACATGTCCGCTCCG